GTACTAGAGACTAATATATAAACCATACAGATTAGTTTATTCGTTATCTATTGGTTTTGAATTGGAAAAACATATAATTTAACATAATATTAGAGTCTGATCCATTCGTTCAATCTAGTTTGGAATCAGTTCGATTTAAAATTCCGTTCATCAATCATTATACAAATATTTATTGATTAAACTACAGAGAACTGAATTATCAAAAAAAAAAAAAAAAAAAACAATTACTGAGAACTAAGTCTCTCGTTGAAATCAGAAATTAGGAAATAATTTTAAATTAAGTATAAACGATATGTATTAGTCATTGTTACTTGATTTTAAATTAGAAGTTAAAGCCAATTAGTCAAAATAAATCCATATAACTTAATATAAAAACATTTTCCATTGTATTTCCATTGATCACATCCAAAGGCTATAGTGCTTCCTTATATAATATATAACATTTTGATCAGTTAATATATATATATATATATATATATTTATTAATTGTGAGGTGTTTTGAGTATTTGGCCTAAATAATTTGCCAGGAGTAGTAGTTGCTAATGTGGAAACATGACGTAAAGCTTCTGAAAATTGAACTAGAAACATAATAGACCTAACTCAAAGCAGTCGACCACTTAACTCAATGCACCGTTAGTGAGTTAATATATCATATCTCGACTTTTAAACGGATATTTTTATATAAACCATTTCAGTGAAAACTATGCACAACGAAGAAGTGGTCCACTGTACTTGGAATCCCTACGAAGATCTGCATGGATTTCATTAGTCCCCACTCCCCACCTTCGCTTTCCTTTTTCCTTTTATCCCCGAACCAAATTATCATATCGTCGGTATTAAATTTCTACATTCATATCGCATTTTAGTTAATGTCATACTTTCACAACTCAGTTTGTTTTGTGTTCTTTTTTTTTTTTTTTTTGAGAAAGGGCTTCGGTTTGTTTTGTTTTGTTTTGTTTCTCCAAACTCGTAATTTCTTCTTATCAGTTAAGAAACTCAAATCAATTAGTGGTTTTCAGTTTTCACCAATATGTCGATCACATGATCGGTATCCAAAGGTATTTTTTAAGTGGGAAAAGACTTATACATATATATATATATATATAATGAGTATCAAATAGAAGGACAAATAAAATCAGTTCAAAAAAAATGATCGGTATGCATGAAACTCATAGTATTTTTTTCTTTCTTTCTGTATCTCGATCAAAATGTGTATATTAGTGAAATACTAATTATAAAAAATGTTAAAACAGTGAAAAAACGTGAAATAAATTATTTGCTTTTACTGTTTTACGAATATCATTTTCCTCATTTTAGTTCGTAAATAAATCTGAATTTTGATAAAATTATCATAAACTTTTAGAACATAACTGAAAACTATGAATGTCCCGCTGGATTTTAAACTCTCAGTTTAGTTACATTTCTCTATCTAAGCATAAAACTGTCTTTGACCAAATTAATGATAGAAATGTATGTGCGTATCAGCGTATGCCTTTGTTTTCTGAGATACGTATAACGTTTTGGTACGTGTGTTTTACTTTCTTTTGTTTGTATTAATCGTCAAATTGTTGCCGGATGTGATAATTCGTTTTTGTAGTTAACTTTGAAATTGAAAACGTGGTTGTGGGGATGAGTTATTAAATTACACTCTTGTATGTATATACAAATGAACTTTGTACAAATGAATTAATCCGAACTTTTTTGTTTACCTTACAGTCACTGTTTGGCCACGTGTTAAAATTTAGCCACCTTAACTGGGGATTTACAAATCTTCATAATGTTAATGTTATTGATCGCCATATCTTTGCTTAATTACTTCCCTTAATCTCTAATTAACTAAATTAAATTTCAACAAAAGTATACGTAAAGGAAAGCTGTTATAATATTACAAACACAACAATCTATATATCTGAAAAATATTACTCACATGAGAACATGCATTATCTGTATATTGTGTATCTCTCTATAGAGGAACATAAATATACATGTGTGTTTTACTTTTTATAATAGCACTAAGTTTTGGTTAATTTTTTCTTCCACAAACTCAATTTTTAATCTATCTCATTACGAGTCATAATGTAATTAGATATTAAATCCCAAAAGTTTTATAACCAAATGGGTAAAAAATATTGGTTGCACGCCCGGAAATTAAAGTCTACATGCTCTAATTACTTTGTCTTTCCATTGTGACGTGCTCCAAATTTACTTAGATCGCAATTATGCTAATCGATTTTTTTCGCCAAAAGTACATTTCGCTTATTGAGGGGCTGCGCACATGCGTCTTGAATCTTGTAATGATGAATAGATGATATAAACGAAGGGAACATATATGTAACATGATGATGCATGGCCAAATAAAGGTTTAAGACAACTCAAATAGTACTTATTTAATTAAATGTAAATAGATACGAATATAACAAAATGTCCCCACGAATTGAAATCATTACCCTAATTCCCTATATTCCTTTCTTTTTGATTGTTTCGCTCCAATACAACTCCATTATTACAACCTTATACAGCTCATGAACCTTTTATATGATATTCTTCTTCTTTTTTATGCATCGTGAGATACAGATATATAAAATTGAATGAAGGTCGCTGACGAAGAAAGAAAAAGAGATCGAGTGATGATCTTCTAAATTTGCAGGTTCCAGTTAAGGTGGCCTAGTAAATTCTTAAACAATCACCGTTTTAATCACTTGTCGTTTTGAACTTTTGATCATAGCATATAATTTTTATAGTTTCACGACACGAAGTTGTAAAGAGAAGGAAATAAATGACAACTACACGTGCGTCTAGCACGGTTTTGCTGTCCGGTTACAATGTGTTTATGTTTACTTGTTAACTAACAAGTCGAACCAAGTTTTCGATTTTTAAAAATTAAATATATAATAATATTTATAATATATAGACTTAAAAAGTAATTTTATATATAATATATTCTATTTTTCTCACTATTAATTAGAAAAATAAACAATAAGCATAAATATAACTATATATAGAGTAAATAGATGAATACTCTGTAAAACTGAAATTGATAAAACTAAACTATTGATAATTCAAATTACCGTATTTATTTATCACATTGAGCTTAACGATGCAGTATTTCAGTTCCCACGAACTCAACTATTTTGTATCTCACCTAATTATACTCGTCTTATCTTGTTGTTATCTAATTTGCTTAAGATATTTCAAGATTTCAACTCACTATTAGATAACAAATTACTGTAATAAACATCCAGAAAAGTAATAATAAAATAACCTAGCGACAACAAGTTAACATGTGGCAAAAGAAGCAAACAGAATGTAATCTTGAGGATATTCCATGTCTTGCTTTTTATTGTTTATTTACGGCAAAATGATTAATCACGAATCTACAAAGTTTCGCCTACAACAATTTTTAGGGAATTAAAGATAATTTTATTTTATTATTGTGAATAATGACACTTTTCGATAGCCGCGAGGAAGAAAAGGTCAAAAATTATTCAGATCTCAGAGGAACAAGATCTTATAGATTCTTTTGATGATGACCTAAGTGTAACAAGGAAACATCATCTAGTAGGGATATTGATGAGAACTATTTTCCAAAAGGAACATCAATTCATCCAAAGTATAAAACATTCGATTGATAATAATTATAACAATATGAAAAGAACGTGATTTAATCATGGTTAAAATCACTGACAACTTAACGCTTTCAGAGCTGAATCAAAATGCTGCTTTCATGGTTATGGCTTCCGCTACAGCCTGATGAGAGCTAGGTTGAGTCTTAGAGCACAGTCGAGTCTCTCTTTATGGTCCGTTAATATCAGGCATTTATATCCTCTTTTTGTTATATATTTTTCTAAACATAACTTTGATTTTGATGTATATGTGAAGTAAGTTTAAACTCTCACCAACAAAATATAAAACCTAGACAACTCGTAACATAAATGTTATTGATCAGAGGGTCAAGATTCGTTGTCCGTAGGGGAATATTGTATATGGGATCTAAGACCAATCTACAATCCCCATGATAATTATGGTACATGCCTATTAACCCTTTTTGATATATATATATATATTTTTTTTTGTAACTTCTCTTTTTGATATTTACAACCAATGAAAGTTGTGATGCTGTGGTGGTGGTAATGATGACACATATTATGTTAAGTTCATCGATTATCAGTTAATAATCAATTGGTTTCATCTACAATATCAGTAGTTGGTTGAGAATAGCTATTAATTTTGATAGATATGCATATGATTTCTCTTCTTTGTTTTGGTGAACCCTAAACTTAAATTATAAACCAGTGGCATTCAATTTTCATATGAACCGATTATCAAAAGAAAGTATACTTTTGTTTAAAAAACGTGAATACTATTTCTTTTGGTCACATGTACGAAATTACTATAGAAATTATCATGTACTAATGTACAAAATGGACTGTGGAATATCTTTCAAAATCATTTGACTAGCGAGATACATTGTGCGTGTTCAAGAAGCGAAGACTATTTGCCTATTGAAGCAAGTTGTATTCAAAGATCCTCACGTGACTGCTATTTTATTGTAGATTTTTTTTTAGAATAATATATAACATATTGATTGTATATTTATCACAGAACTTTATATCATCAGCTATAAACTACTCATATCATAAGCTAACATTATATTTGACATACATCAATATATTATATCGACGTAAAAAAAAATGATTATATCATCTAACGGAATTAAATGGGCCAACTGAACTAATAAGTTAGTATAGATACATGTATTTTACCCAAAAAAATATATACATGTATACAATAAATTAGGACTTTAAAAGAAGGAAAGAAAATTAGGTAATCTATATGAAAATCGTTTAATTAGGTAGTGAATAATTACACAGGTGATACTCGCCCGGTAATTTTTCATTACCCATACAATATACACATGTGTCCATGTGTTGCTCTATAAATATACATCTACTACTTTTCAATGACAGAACCAAAGCTAAAGTGTTCAAAACATATTTCTCAGAAAGTATGACGATTTATAATTTTCCATCACAAATTCATGTTCTAGTAATAACAATATTTATTACAACTCTTTTAACTCCGATAACAACCAACACATCACCACAACCATGGAATATCCTTTCCAACAACAACTTCGCCGGAAAACTCACCTCCGCACCCTCCTCCGTCGAAGCAGCTGCCATCGATTTTGGCCAAGTCACCAAAATCTTACCCTCGGCCGTCTTAAACCCTTCCTCCGTCCAAGACATCACTGATCTCATAAAACTTTCCTTCGACTCTCAACCCTCTTTTCCTATAGCCGCTCGTGGCCACGGACACAGCCACCGTGGCCAAGCCACGGCTAAAGACGGAGTTGTGGTCAACATGCGGTCAATGGTAAACGGGCACCGAGGCATAAAGGTGTCTAGGACCGGTTTATATGCTGACGTGGACAGTGGGTGGCTATGGATTGAGGTGTTGAACAAAACGTTGGAGTTGGGGTTAACGCCGGTTTCTTGGACGGACTATTTGTATTTAACGGTCGGTGGAACGTTATCCAACGGCGGAATAAGCGGACAAACGTCTCGGTACGGTCCACAGATCAGTAATGTTCTGGAGATGGATGTTATTACTGGTATGTACCATGTTTTTTTACATATACTCCAAATCTATGCAATAATAATGATTTTTTTACTTCGTACGTTTGGCGACAGAAAAAAAAATCGTACGTATTTTAGATCTGCGCGGTCACTTGTGTTTATGCTCTTGTTTTGTTTGTATTGTTTGTCTCTTTTGTACACATTTCTCGAACTTGTTGATATTATTTCTTCTTTTCACACATCTAGATCATCACATTATTTTTGTGTCTAAGAGTAGAAAGAAACACGGGCTACATATGCATAAAATAGGTAGTTGTAAGAAAAGCTTTTTCTTTGTTATAGTGATCAAAGATTTAGCATTATTGCTTTTAACAACAGAAAATCGTAATTAAAATTACAATCAACATTATATATGTAGTAAAAATCTTTAAAGATAATATATAATATAGTCTCTACTTGAAAGTTGAAACACAATGTTTTATCACGATTTTGTTAACGCTATATATAACAAGTTAAACTAACTAAACTGTTCTGAAATTTATAATTTCTTACATATTATGGATGTTTCGCCGAATCTAAGTCTGATCTCCGAGAAAATGACATAATTTCACACGTTAATATTATGTAATTTGTTCATAAAACCCGGTGACAAACAAAAATTCAAACAAAAATTCAACCAAAAATGGTCCCACACGTATGAACCTTTCAAAAGGTTTCTTGTAGCTTAAGGACAAAACTCGAAAGTTTCTAACGTTTGGTCTTAATCAGGTGTGATGGATATTTAAGTAACAGTCAAATGTCTCATTGTAGCTGTACCCATTATGACCACATATGCATCCATAATTCCATATGTATACACACATACATACATTGTCAAGTGTAGTTCGTTTACGAAGACTTTGTAGTTCCAATTGTTTGGTTAGGAGATAAGATAATTAATGGACCGACTTTAACACTTTAGGCTTTAAACAACGATAGTTTTATTAGAAACTCGTTGCATCTTTTCTATAATCTATGATATTCTTTGTATAGACTTATGGTCCACATTTGTTGAAGTAGTTTAAGACTAAACTTTCTAATTGGGTCAATTGGCTTTTCCCGGATTTTTTATAGGAAAAGGAGAGATTACAACTTGTTCCAGCGACATGAACTCAGATCTTTTCTACGCCGCTTTAGGAGGTTTGGGTCAGTTCGGGATTATAACAAGAGCCAGAATTAAACTTGGATTAGCTCCAAAAAGGGTATGCTTTAAATATGTAAATTATAACATAAATTTTATTTTACAGAAATAAATGAAAGTTATCATTTTTGTTATAACTTTTTTTCTTTTGGGAAAAATTTCAGGCTAAATGGTTAAGGTTTCTATACACTGATTTTTCTGAATTCACAAGAGATCAAGAACGATTGATATCAGAAACGAACGGTTTAGATTTCTTGGAAGGTTCCGTTATGCTGGACCATGGCCCACCGGATAACTGGAGATCCACTTATTTTCCACCGTCCGACCACTCGAGGATCGTCTCACTTGTCAAACGTCATCGTGTCGTCTACTGTCTCGAAGTCGTCAAGTATTACAACGAAACTTCTCAACACTCAGTCAACGAGGTCCGTACATATATACTAATTAAGTAATTTTACTAATAATTAAGCAACTCTTTATACCAGTATGTGTTTACTATTTTGCTCAATTGTTTAAACTATGTAGGAAATGGAGGAGTTAAGCGAGAGCTTGAACTATGTAAGAGGGTTTATGTACGAGAAAGATGTGACGTATATAAATTTCTTGAACCGGGTTCGAGCAGGAGAACTAAAACTTAAATCCAAAGGGCAATGGAATGTTCCACATCCATGGCTTAATCTTTTCGTACCAAAGTCTCAGATTTCAAGATTTGATAATGGTGTCTTTAAGGGTATTATCCTTAGAAATAACATCACTACCGGTCCATTTCTTGTTTATCCCATGAAGCGCAACAAGTGAGTTAAAAGATATAGCCATCACCTACTCAAAGTTCGCTTATCCAAAATATAATTAAGTAACTAAATGTTAAGCTTGTGTTTCAGGTGGAATGATCGAATGTCGACCGCTATACCCGAAGAAGATGTATTTTATGCGGTAGGGTTCTTACGATCGGCCGAGTTTGACAACTGGGAGGATTATGATAAAGAAAATATGGAAGTATTAAAGTTTTGTGAGGATGCTAAAATGGGAGTCATACAATATCTTCCTAATCATGCATCACAAGAAGGATGGGTTAGACATTTTGGTCCGAGGTGGAATATTTTTCTAGAGAGAAAATATAGATATGATCCTAAAATGATATTGTCCCCAGGACAAAATATATTTCAATAAATAAACTTGTGTTAGGCAATAATTTAGTATGATAACTGTTAGTCATTCTCACTTTATGTGTTTGGCCACGCTTTTCATTGATTCTGATTGCTACATTCACTTTAGACAGAAAAATATAATGAAAATTCCGCTTGAATAAAGTATAAGAAATAATCTATAGTCCGGTGAGAGATTTTTGGTGATAGTAAAAATAAAAGCATGATGATGGTAACAAAGGGGAAAAAGATACGAAAGTGAAGAACATGATCATATTATTTGAAAGTACAAATGTGAAAGCTATCTTTTGATCTGTAAGTAAAATTTTAACTAATGTATTAAACAGTTAAATAAAGCGAATAATAAATCATTTTGTCTGAGAAATGTTCCCAAACCTTTTAGTTACAGTCTGCGGGAAAGAAGGAGACATCTAAACTTCTTGCCTCCTCTCTCGTTTTAAAATATTGTTTTTTTTTGTACTTTGAAGATCTTGGTCGAGCGAGATCCACGTATAGTTGGGTTGATTAGAATCGAATATTTTCATTTTCTATCGGTCAATAGTATCGTTCATTTTCTTGGTTGTTTTGTTAGGCACATTGCCAAAGCATTTATCAAAATCAACACTTGTTAATGATTCCTACATAGATTTTATTTGATTCACCATATTGGATTATGATTTTTTTTAAAATCAATTAAAACATATGGTAAATTAATAATCAAAAGGATAATCATCATTACAGTTAAATATATTGTTTTGATCCGCTGTCTAAATTCAGTTGGTTTTGTGTTTAATTTGTTTATGAAAAAGGATTGCGATTAATTTATCAAGCAAAATCAAGAAAACGACAAAAGCGTCGTGAAAGTGGAAAGCATATGATGAAAGCTGCAGCCGTTTAGCTTTGTGATCCGAAGGAATCTCCAACCTAAATTTTCATAGTAAGTACCGAATATCTATAATTAATAAAATATAAAATCTATGTCATGTGAAAAAGCGGAACCGTTTAGAGATTGCTATCTAAATATTTTATAAGTAAAATCTTATTGCATCATAACTAAAAATACAATCATGAGATTCCTTACCTTTTGGTCTAATTACCATCCCAAATTTTATATTATAATTTGTTCACTTTTCAAATATTTTAAAAATAATTTGATCAACGTATAACTGAAAAAAACGTAAAATTTGATCGTAGTCACTCTGTTTCCTTAAGTTAAATTCCTTGTTTTTTTTTATTTTGTTCTAAAAATGTTATTAGTTTGAAACGTAAAATTATTGTTTTCTATTTTATTTTCCCCATGTCCGTAAGAATTAGTAGAATGCACATTTAATTAACTGATCATTTAAAATTAATAGAGATGGGTTAAATTTGAAATAGTTACAATATTCTTATAGCATAGAAACCAGTACCACTAAGACATGAATACAGCATTTCCAAAAATATCATATTCTCCAAATGTCATACTCACCGTACTGTTCATAGTTACATGCAGGCTAGTGTAAATTACTAAACGGATAACGGGATAATCTTGTACGTAGATCTCGAAGTGGCATGTAAAACTACTCAACGTTGGAGACTCGAGACCAAAACAAAATGCGAATTTGGAAACGTTACTAGATGGGCCTTCATTATTGGCCCAAATAGGTCAAGTTCTAGGCCTAGTGTTTACTGATAAGAGCCTAACCACGTGGTGTTTTGTAGAATATTAACGACACGCTCTTGATTATCACTTATAGGAATGCAAAACGAAAGTGGCTAATCTGCAATGCCGTTTCTGTCAAGCAGGCAACAAACGTTTCTGCTGAAAATTAAAACAATTCAACTAGATAGTGATACTTTTTCCCGTTACAGTTTGTTTAGATATAATTTTAGGGCTCATATCAATAATTAATGTCGTTATGTCCTAACTTGTATTGCATGCGAACGTGATGTCATTTTTCTGAATATTACATTGTATGTAATTAGTTGATTGCTGAATATTATTAACCGATAAAACTAATTACTTGAAAGTCAAAATAATGAAAAAAAAATATATTTAAACGCATGAATATGATCGTCATAAATGATTTTTCTTCTTTCGGTCATCACAATTGGTTCATATTGGTTTATCAAAGTTCTCGAGCATAAGATGAACGAGCGTTGGTAATGTGAACAAGGCAAGCATTTAAATGAACTCGTTGAGAAAAATGGTCCAAATATGAAATTGAAAAACATAAATCGATGCAACTTGCTAATACACACATTATTATAAGGACACAACCAAATGTGTACAGTCGAATCGTTCGTCCAACCATGTTTGTGAAAACGTTTAATCGATTTTCTTCCTTCTTATAGTTTTAATGTGGTTAGATTGGTTAGATATATTAAACAACATTAAAGAGACTAAACTTAAATACAAATATCATTTATCGGAAAAATTAATCTTTTCGTAAGGGGTTAACCCATATATTTCAAAATTAATTAAAAAAATATGAAATTTTTGTATTTATTTATAGTTGCATCTAACACTGATAGAAGATGAATATCAAAGCGTTCGGATTCATGAATTATCCAAATTTCTATAGAAAATAGAGATTTTATAGCTGCATCCAGCACTAATATAAGAAAAAAAAAATTTTATAAAAGATACAAATAATGTGGAGAAACAATGCATGTGTAGTTTACAAAAAAAGAACATGTTAGTGAAGAAGATCTCTTAACGTTATCTTAATGCATAGATACATTCAAAATATTTATATGATGGAGATCAATGATGTCTGACACCTTAATTTATTGTCCTAATTTCTCTAGAATACAAAGATTTCATAAGGTTTAATTCTTTGATTTACGTGGCATATAAAATTTTAATAAATTAGTCGTTGGAAAATTAATTAATGCTCATGTACCATGAAACTAAATTTAGGATACATTAGCATATATTTTTAATGTGATTAGATATTTTAAACAACACTAAAAAGCTAAACTTAGGTACAAATATCACTTATCGGAAAACTTGATCTTTCCGTAAGGATTAACCCAAAAATTTCATGATAAACTAGAAAGATATTGAATTTTTTTAATTTATGCATAGTTGTATCCAGTAGTGATATAAGATGAATATCAAAGAGTTTTGATACCTTAGTTGTCCAAATCTACTATGATTAAAAGTTGATAACAAAGCCAAATGAGGCTATCCACGTGGGATGAAATATTCAACCAATCATGAGGCTCTAATTTGCCATGTCAACCAGCTGGTTTTCTTACGTGAAATCGAGAATCCAATTCTAATTTGGTTTGGTTTTTTTTGTGTCTGGTTTGCCCTCAGGCGAAGAATTTTTTTGGTTTATATNATCTACTATGATTAAAAGTTGATAACAAAGCCAAATGAGGCTATCCACGTGGGATGAAATATTCAACCAATCATGAGGCTCTAATTTGCCATGTCAACCAGCTGGTTTTCTTACGTGAAATCGAGAATCCAATTCTAATTTGGTTTGGTTTTTTTTGTGTCTGGTTTGCCCTCAGGCGAAGAATTTTTTTGGTTTATATTTGTTTACAGGCGCCGTAACCTAGACACTCCTTAGCTTCTCTCACCTTTCAACTTCCTCCGATGAAGTTTCCAGATTTCTCAACCGTTCTCCAAGCAATTAATCCCACCTCTTCTGATAATCAATTCCTCTCTTTATCTCTTCAATCCATCAGTTTTACCGATGTGATGTGGTTCTCCTTTCACCTTCCTTGGCAACTTCGTATTTATAGGCCCCCTATTCTTTGCTTCTCTTTTGTTTTCTAAGAAGCTCTACTCTCTCTAAAAAACGACTCGATGGAACCCAACAAAACCAACCAGAAGCTTCTTTCATCCTCCATGGCTGCTGAACAGAAGAGGAAGTCTTCCGACTCCACTTCGATTGGAACCAAATCTCATGGCAAAACCGCTGTTACGGCTCCTTCCTCTCCGGCTGGCTCCAAACCTCACGGCAAGTCTCATGTCACGGGACCCATTCAGACAAGGGCTAAAGCTCCTATTCCTCTCCCCCCTCCGATGCTCTTCAGGGATGTCTCTCTCGGCCCACATGAAGCATCTCTGAAGTTTCGCCTCATTCACTTCTGGGAAGCTAGGAACACGAGAACCAAATCTCTTATTGGGCAGGAACTCCTTCTAATCGACGAGGAGGTATGTATATTACCTAAGTATCCGCTTTACATTATTATAGATCCCGTTTTGATAGAATCCTATATTGGCTACCTCTGTTAATAAGTTAATACTCAATATTTAATTACCCTTTTGTGATATCATATTTTGGGTTCACTCATATCTTGATTACCATTTTTTATTTATAGATTTTAGATGTAAGTTACCATTTTGTTAATTATTTTTGTTTCAGATTATAGTTTGATCCGATAATGTTACTAAGTTAATACTCATATTTAAATTACCCTTTAATATTGCTCCAAACATATTAATAATTTGATAATGTTATAGTTTGATCAGATAATGTTAATAAGTTAGTACTCATAATTAATTACCGTTTTGTGATATCTTATTTTGGGAGTACTCATAGCTTGAATACTTTTTTTTTAAAATTTCTAGATTTTAATTCAAGTTTTTTTTTTTGTGGAATTCAGGGGACGGTTGTGCAAGGTTTTATACCTGCCGGACGTGTAGGCAGCTATGATCTGGTCGCAGGCTCTGTGTATAACCTGTCAAACTTCTTTGGTTCTAGGAACAAGGACGTGTATCGTGTTTCCGACCATCCAGCGATCGTGACCTTCTCCTGGAATTCTAAGTTGTCATTTCTTGAGAACCAAACTGTGGCTATTGATGAGGATATGTTCAGGATACACAGTGTGGATGAGTTTGAGACATACTGTGATGCCAAGGGTGACCTCTTTGGTAAGTTTCCTTCAACTATAGAATCGCCTGTGTTCAAGTCTTTAGGTTTAATTCATTTAAAATGGGTAGTTGTTAGCCCTTAGCAGAAATTTGCTAATGTGTATACATCTCAGAAACATATGATGTGGTTGTTTCTTTGCTTACTAGAGTTAATGTTTGATCATTGTTTTTTTTTTCCTCATGACAGATTTCCTTGGCCACTTGAAGCTTGTGAACGGACAACCCATCAACGAGCAAATCGTCCTTGATGAAGTTGATATTGCAGGAAAACGCCATCTATGTGTTCATGCTCAGACACATGAGTAATCTCTCCCTTTATTGCATTTTTTAGACCCGTCTTGGTAATTTAACCTATCTGTTTGGGCTTGTGCAGTGGCCCAGTGGTGAAGATCTATTTATGGGATCAGGCTGCAACTGAGTTTTGTCAGAAATTCAAGGCCACAGAGAACAACCCACGGGTCCTCCTGGTTACTACTCTAAATCCTAAACGTCTGGGAGGTAAGTTATTGATACCACTACTTTCCGTCAATATAAATTCGAAGTGTATTTGGTTTAGGAGTGGAATGTTTACGTAACTCAGTTTGTTGTTTGAGTTTATTTGGTTCGATCAGTAGCTGCTCATGTGATTACCATTTATAGTGTTGTTTACCTTTATTTTTTGTTTTGTTGTTAAACAATTCAAATTTTTTTGCCAGGCACACTTTGCCTCACCTCGATGTCGTCTTCTCGAGTCTTTATAGACTCCGATGTAGGGCCTACCAGAGATTACGTAGGATGGTATGACTCTAACTATTCTAATATTCAATTTTGTTGTATTCTACTTTTCATGTAACCCGATGATGGTTTACTGGTGGTTTCCACATATAAATCAGGTTGAGCTCAAATGCTGAAGCTGCCAATAAGATTGACGCAAAGGTTGTGACTAAGCCTGAGATTTATAGTCTAGAGGAGATATTTGCCTATGTGAAGCAAGAGTCGTCTAAGGTGAATGTGTATATTTGAATCTAATAATATGGTTTACGGTTTTTGTGCCTTTGTATTTGAGTTAACTTTTGTCTGGAAAATAGGTGGCTAGGTTTGAATGCACAGCCACAATAGACGACGTTCTCCAAGGATCCCCTTGGTACTACATTTCATGTGGTGCTTGCAATAGCAAGGCTGTTAAAGGGCCTACATCCCTGTTCTGTAACAACAACAAGTGTGAGGAGAGACAAGTCCCAGGTGTTCCTCAGTAAGTGTTTCTGACATTCTCTGTTTTTCCAAATTTCTGGGACTAAGTTATGTTTCTATCTTTTTAAATCATGCGCTCAACTCATGTGATTTATTTCTTTTATTTCAGGTACCTCACCAAGATTTCGGTTTATGATAAGAGTGACCAAGCAACTTTCGTTGTACTTGGTGATGCGGGCAAAATGTTGGCAGGGAAACCTGCATCTGAGTTAGTGGCAAGCTATTTTGAGGTATTGCCTTACCTATTTGTACATAGTGCCAATAATTTAATATTATATTGACACATCTTCAATTGTAGGCAAATGAGGACGTCGGATCGGATGATTGTGTCCCAGTCCCTCAGGCTTTACTTGATGCCATAGGGAAGACTTTCAAATTCGTTGTCAAAATTTCCGAACATAATTTGACTGGGAAGGTTCAGTCGATAACTGTCACAAAGATACTACCTACTGATGAACCAGTTGCTGCTGAGGGCTTGGAGAATGAGAGTACTGCAGAAGCGGATGCTGATGTTTTGAATGCTGAACGTGGGGAACCTGATGCTACTGGTGGCTTTGACGTCTCAGCAGGTGCTAATGTCAGGAAAGCTTCTGATGTTCTTCAATCAGAGGCTCCAAAGCGTTCCAAGAGTGGCTAATCCCACTACTACTTATCCTCTGAAGCAGTAACTGGTGTTCCTGCTTTCTACTTTTCGCTTTCTTCTTTTCACAGACATTTTGTTTTATCTATTGGAATCCATAGACTCCAGTCTTTCACAGACACTTTATGTTGTTCCAGAACAATTTCATTTGGGTGTTATCTGCACTTTTCTTTGGGTTTTTTTAATAACAAACTCTTACATACAACTGTTCTTGATAGGTAGGTTTAAAATATTCAAGACATCAAATGTTATAATTGTAAGTTACAAGACGTAAAGATTGTTGGTGGGCAAAAACCTGCAATGTTTTAAATTGAATTGTCTCAGGCTTAACATAATGTCATAAACATTTGGTCTTAGCCTAATAGGAAAACATCGTACATAATCCCAACACAAACATAACAATTTTTGTTAACGTTTTTATTTTGTGCCCGTGATTTTTTTTTTAAAAAAAGGAAACACCCATCGTTACAAAGCTTGAAGATTGTTGGTGAGACAAAAAAAAACTTCAATGTTTGAAATTGAATTGTCTCAGACTTAACATAATGTCAACAACATTTGATGTTAGCCAAATAGGAAAACATCTTACATAATCCCAACACAACATAACAATTTTTGTTAATGTTTTAATTTTGTGTTCGTGATTTTTTTAAAAAAAAGGAGACACCCATCGAACCCGGGTTTGGGAGGCATGAACAAGCATTGTTCAACCACTAGGCTAAATATTGTTTTATCAGTACTTATGTTTCATTATGCATCGAACATTACTCATTACCCGCTTTTGACAATACAATATCTTCCGCCCACCATTTCTCAAATTTTAGAAAAAGATTTTCGAACAAAGCGCCTCCTACCAAAAATTAGAATCTCGGGATAAATGAAATTGCTACTACAAAAAAAACCCGGGCGTAGCCCGGGGAAACGATCTAGTNATCAGTACTTATGTTTCATTATGCATCGAACATTACTCATTACCCGCTTTTGACAATACAATATCTTCCGCCCACCATTTCTCAAATTTTAGAAAAAGATTTTCGAACAAAGCGCCTCCTACCAAAAATTAGAATCTCGGGATAAATGAAATTGCTACTACAAAAAAAACCCGGGCGTAGCCCGGGGAAACGATCTAGTTTTTATAGAAAGTGGAGATTTTAGTTCATTGATTTGGTGGTATATGGAACTTTATTAAATACTTCGGTCGAAAATTTAAATTGATGTCCATGTACCAATAACATAAGTTTAGTACATTTATTTAATTTTTGAATGTGGTTAGGTATTCTTAAACAAAACTAAAGAGACATATATATAACATTTATCAAAAAAACTCATTTGTATGGGTTAACCCACATAACTCAAGATAAATTAGAAAATATGATTTTTTGTTTTATGAATGTTGCATCATGCACTGACATAGTATGAAGAATAAAGAGATTTGAGATTTTAGATGTTCCAATTTCTCCAGAAAAATGAGTTTTTATAGAGGTTAATCCACTTATTAGGTGATATATGAATTTTAAATAAATTACTCATTGAAAAATTAGAAATGAAGTCCATGTACCATGAAAATAAGTTTAGCATATAAATATATAAATTTGGAGTGTTGTTAATGTATTTTTAAACAATGCAAAAGAAGCTAAACAGTATAGATAGTATTTATTAAAAAATTCAATATCTTTGTAAGGGTTAATCCACATATCTTAAGATAAATTAGAAAATATGATATTTTTGTTTTAATGCATAGTTGCATTATGCACTAACAAAGTATGAAAATTAAAGAGGTTTGAGACTTTAGGTGTTTTCATTTATCTATAGAGATTTTATAGGGATTGATACACTAATTAGGTTGTATATGAAATTTAAAAACATTACTCGTTGGAAAATTAGAAATAATGTCCATGTACCATGAAAATATGTTTAGAATATATTAATATACATTTAGAGTGTGGTTATGTAAAAAAATATTAATGATGCAAAATTTTAATATATATACCATTTATTGGACTCTATCTTTTTGTAAGAAAAACTAAAAATAAAGTATTTTGTTTTAATGCATAACTTTATTATTCAGTGACATGTGATACAAATTGAAGAGTTATGAGACTTTATTTTTTTCTATTTTCCAGAAATTACATATTTTATAGGAATTAGTCCACTTAGGTAAAATATAAAGTTTTATTAATTTACTCATTAAAATATTAGAAACGATGTCTATGTACAATGAAAATAAGTATATACTACATTAATATAAACGTATAATACGATAGGTATTTTTTAGTCGAAATGAAAAAAGTTCAAACTTTAATATATAACATTTATCGGATAAATCAATCTTTTTGTATGGTTAATCCATAGATTTCAAAATAAAGTAAAAATATAGTATTTTTCTTTTAATGCATTAATACATCTATCACATTTATAGAATGAGAATCACTAGCTAAGCCTATAAAATGATTGTTGTTCATTCATATATTAATTGAATTCAGAGTTTGGTTTCACAAATTTACAGTTTTTTGTCCTTAATTTCAGTCTTCCCGCCACTTTATAGTACTTATGTTGTTTTATGTTTTTATACACAAACTTAAAAACGTATATTTAATTTTATATTTTTCTTTTAATAAATACATGATTTATTATACTATGTTCATTAGCGAGCTAAATAATAAGAATAAATAAAAAAATTAAAAATAAAATGACACCTAAAATAAAATTAATTTTAAACTTTAAAATGCTAATTAATATAAAATGGATGGATTTATAGAAAAATTTATTGTTATGTGGTTCGCACAAAAATTACATGTTTTGATTCCTTCTATATATTTTTGATAGTATTTTAAATTTATTCTTTTTACTTATAATTGTAGTATATATAGGATATAGCGAAGTAGTATCCCTCAATAAGTTCGAGAAGCTAGTGGATTTCTCTTGATATGTTTTATATTCTGTGAAAAACATATAATATTATACATGTATTAAAATATTCAGAAAGATGAGGAGATGTAATATTACCGGTACTTAATATATTGTGGGAAGGACATATAGTATTATACATGTATTAAAATATTCAGAAATACGAGGAGATGACGAGAAGCACTGGAATATAAGCTGAAAAGGGGGGAGACTGAACTATATAAAAAACCCATGATTATGCTTTTTATGGCCATAGTAAAGTTCTTCAACAATCGACAAATAGTCAGTTGTGGAAGTCTGTACGATATTTTTCATATTAATGGCCTTTCATAAAATTATTATTAATACGTATAACGAGTTAAAACACCATGGGTCATCTTTTTTAGTCAATCTTGTATTCATTTTTTTTTCTTTTGAAACTAATCTTGTATTCTTGTTGACATGCATATTTCTTTTTTTTTTGAAAAGGACATGCGTATTTCTTCATGGTTAATAGAAACAATCTTTTTTTAGATATTACTCCACTAAAAAAATATCAAAATATCACAATTTATTTAGCATCTTAGCAAGATGAATGGTATATTGTCAAAAGTAAAAAAAAACTGGAAAGTACAGAAAAAGTTGATAAGAATATAATTAGTTAAAACTAAATTAGAAAATAAATATATTAATTAAGATCACTCATTTACACCAAAAATATAGTTTATTAATTAAAGCAACATTTACCCAGTTTTGAAGTGTAACTTTTAAGATAATTTGCTAGGTTGATCAAATAAATAAATAAAAATCAATTTGCCATCCTCTCTTGACCGTCTTTCAAAACTTTGGACCATACGACTTTGACTCCCTCTCTTTCTGAAATCTATCTCTCTCTTATTTGGCTGCTTCTTCTCTCTACTTTTCTCACTTTAATATTTTTCAAATAAGAAAATAAAAATAGAACGAATAACTTTCCCTCCTTCCGTGTCTCTCTCTGGTTATCACATAAGCTAAACAATGGAGCACTCTAATTATCATCTATCCTCCTTCATCTTCAAATCCTCATAATCTCATCTATTGTGTTTGGGAGAAAATGACATCATCCGTCATGGACGCAATCTTCTTAACGGACGATCCGAATACCCGGAAACAGTTTATCGGGTCGCTAGCTCATTCTTTCGGGTGCATCTACGTTTCTCTCTGGTCCTATTATTTTCCTCGACCTTCTAAGTAATTATCATCATATCTTCCTCGCTCTTGATCCTTACATATATTATATACATTACACATATATTGTTCACATATCTCTATAATGTATGGTATATTTAATCACGAAGGTGCATTTTATTTTTCGAGCTTCAGCTACTTGATATCATTGGATGGATATTACAATGAAGCATCTCACGAGCCTTCTACGTCTACTGGAAGTTTAGCCAGACGACTGTTCCATGAGTATCGCCAATCCATCATCCCTCTCCAAAATGGGTATAAAATATTCACCATAAATACATAAACATGTGCATAACGTTTGAGTTCTATATTTACATGCATACTTGAATATTGTATAAGCTAAATGTTTTGATTTTTCTATGAAGACATATACCAAGCATGGCGTTCATGAATAATCTCCCATATTTAGAGATTCGGACACAGGATATCCAAAGACTTGCTTCCAACGACGCACAACGTCTCTTCTATCAGGTCATTATCAATATAATGCTAATACCACTAAGTCTTGTTTTCATGGGTTAATGATATGAATACAGAATATTCATTACTAATAATTTTCTGTCTCGTTTCATTAAATTTCGCAGGAAGCCCGGATTCAGGTACATTATTTAATTTTGTTTAACTTCCAACTAAAATCTAAAACATATACGTTTATATATTAGTTACGTATATAACGTTGTATGTGTATTATATATGATCAGACGGTGATATTCATGGGTTGTCGGAGCGGAGAGATCGAACTCGGATTGACGTATGATGCTGCAAATGTATGTATCCTATCCATACGTATATATAATATCAGTTTAACAAAATCATTAGCATTTATTACTTAGGTTATATTTAATTAATGTTCTTGTCTCTATTTTTCTATATACACATATACTAATAATGTATGTATGTACATTGACCCAAACTACAGATGAAAATAGAAGAAAGTCTTCGAGATTGGTTCCCTGAAGATTTCAGTAGAAAGACGTCTCCGGTCAGCTCCGACTATCTCCGTCCACCGCATCCTCCGTCTTCATCTTCTTCCTCTCTTAGATCACTAGACAGCCCCCAAAACGCCTCAGAATATTCCTCTCTCTTATTCCCACTCATCCCTAAACCCTCAACAACAACTGACGCCGTTAACGTTCCGTTAAACCCGCTGCTAGCTCCGGCCACGACAGCAACAACGACCAGCATGATCCATCAGCAACAACAAGAGCCTTTGTTTTGCAACCGTGAACGTGATGAGGAAGCAATGGCGCAAGCTATCTTGGCAGTTTTGACGGCGTCTTCAAGTCCTTCTACTTCTTCATCGCCGCAGCTAAAAGGAAGGGCCACCGCTTTTAAGAGATACCACTGCATGATTAGCGGCGGTAGAGCACCGCAACCACCTAGTAGTGTACGGCGGCAAAATATGATGAAAAGAGCTATCTCGTTCTACAATAGTCTTAACTTTGACCGGAGAGAGCGTTTTTCTACTGGCGGCGGCGGTGGTGATGGAATCGGTGGAAGCGGGCGTGGGCCAACCGCAACGCAGTTGCATCATATGATATCGGAGAGGAAACGGCGTGAAAAGCTTAATGAGAGCTTTCAAGCACTAAGATCTCTCCTTCCTCATGGAACTAAGGTATGTGCTATAGTATAATATCTTCATGATTTAAGTTCCATATGCATACAATTAAAAGTGTATTAACACTTTGGCTAAGATTTTTCAATTTGAAATGATGATCATAATACTTTAAATATTTCTAGGTTACTGTAGAAACAAGAAACCACAAATAGTAAAGAGTGTGTTATTAATCAACTTGATTACAACGTATAAATACAAGCGAAATGAATCATGATAAGAACATAGTGAAAATCTACTATAGATTAGGACTTGTCTATATCTTTTCTATACATGCATATATATATATCTATAATATCCATATTTGTCTTCATAATAGTTACAAATATTATGGTTAAAACTTTTGAACAGAAAGATAAAGCATCGGTCCTAACAACTGCAAGAAAGCATCTAACTTCTTTGCAAGACGACATTGCGAAGCTACTAGAGAGGAATAGGGAGCTGGAGGCTAAGCTAGCAGGAGAAAGAGAGATGGAAAATGATTTACAACCTGATAAGAGGTTTAACGTACGTATAATACATATACCGGAATCCACATCCAGAGAAAGAGTAGTGGATCTAAGAGTTGTTCTCAGAGGAGACAACATTAGGGCAGATGATTTGATCATAAGGCTTCTAGAGTTCTTAAAGCAAATCAACAATGTGAGTTTAGTATCAATCGACGCTAAAACCCGAGCTAGAGAAGATGGAGCTAATTCGATCGTTCTCGTGAGCCTAAGGCTAAGGATTGAGGTAAATAGTAATAATCTTGATCATATTAAATTGGTTTCTGGTAAAGAAACAAATTGTTTGAGATTTATTAATTAGCTAAGGGTTGCATATAGTTTTTTTTTGTTTACTTTGAAAAATATAAAAAGGAAGTTCACATTTTCTAAAGTGTTATTTAACAATTTATAGGAATTTATTCAAGGAATTGCATTGATTGGTTGTGTTATTTGTTAGGTGGATATTTATGTGACATATACTTCCAATTTTTCTCAAAAGGTGGATTTTTCCCCCTCCACATAAATTTATTTGGATGGTGCCTATATAATTATGAATAATTGATCACATAATTTGATAACCACTAATTCTAGCTTGACTTAAAGATTTAATAGTCGTTGTGAAGAAAAGAAATAAAACGTCAGAAGTTTTGATTGTTTTGCAGGGTGAATGCGACGAATCAGCCTTCCAAGAAGCAGTCAGAAGAGTTGTTGCTGACTTGGCTCAATGACAAACAAGTTTGATTATTTCCTAACCATGATATACATATAATTATAGTTTTTTTTTTTTTACTTTCTACGCTTACAACTTAATAATATAAATTAAAATGATTGATATTATATATGGACAGTCTATTTTGTGACACTCGTGTTCGGCGGCGCATATTGTTTTCGATGGTCCTCTTCTTGTTCTTATTACTGTGGACTGTTTCAGCCGTATGTCGCTATTTCGTGAATCAATTTTGACCAAATGTTTCTGTCCACTTTTATAGTTGTTATCGTATAGTATCGTAATAGGCAATATTTATTTAATACAAGCTGATGTAATCTTTTCTTTAAAAATACTTGTTGGTATCAGTGTAATTTTGTTTGGAACTTTATGATTGATGGTTCGTACATGGAATGTATAATTTGGTATTCAATAATTGTACTTTTCGTCCGCAAGTAGTCCGTACCGCTCCAAGTTGTAGAGATTTTCCTTTTTGTTTAATGTGTTGCACATATTATGCTTGCGTTATAATTTTATAATAGCATTCAATCATCAATTTTAAAATACAGTATTTATTTTTAAGGAAGATATAACATAATTGTGAGTCACGATCTATAGAATCTCTCTTAGATATATGTGGCTAAGTTTAATTTTCTTTTGTCGCCCAAATTGACTGAACTTTTTGTTTCTTGCTAAATGGAGAAAGGAAACGATTAGGACATGTCTACATAAAAATGAAATTTCAAGAGATTGAAGACATATGGTCTGATTCCATAAAAGGAACATACCTAGTTCGCATTTACCAAATTTAAATTTGAGAAATATCTTCAAATTATGCCCTTTTACAAAAAGAAAAGAAAAGAAATATCTTCGAATTATTTTCCATTTATAAACGTGATTAACTCTAACGTCAAGTACCTTTTTTCCAAATGGGCACTACCATACGTAAGGTATCAAATTCAATGGAATATACAACTCCATTCGTCTCATGAAAAATTAATACCTCAAAGTGCTTTTAAAAAAAAAAATCTAAGTGTCGGTTCAAAATATGTAATTGTGCACTAGTTATTCTATACTTTCATTCTTTGTGTAATAAGCATAAGGCATAAATTTTGGAGCATAGAATTAAAAAAAGCTGCAACACAGAAGACATATTTTCTTCATACATATTATTTGATCGATAGATAATGTACGTCATTAGAAAAACTTAAAAAGATCCAATCTATCATTACACAAGTACGAACTAAAAAATATCATTTGATTTTCGAAATCAATAAAATGTAATTGCGAAGAAAAGGAGGGTATGCAGGGCTAAAGTGTCACGGAACAAAAAAATTGGCAGTCTACAGAAAATTCAGAACTTAGATTTTGGAAGACGGCAGTTTTGACCCGATTCAGATGAAGGAAGAACCTTCTTTCTAAGGTAACCATCTCCGAATCTCGTAAAGCCTTAGGCTATTTATTTATTTCAATATCAGCTACTCAGGTTATTAAAATAACCTTTATCATATTTTATACTAAGAAGCACCTATATACAATGTATTTAATCAGAATAAATCAGCACTTTAAAACGTGGAGCTTTAGAAGATTATGCTTCTAGTTACTTAAAGATGAAAAGTAGGTTGACTTAGAAAAACTGAAAAAGTGAGAAACGCAAAAGCTTAGTTAAACTGTCCTGAAACATTGTATCTAACTAGATTCTCAGTGGTGTTTCGAACAAAAAAAAAAACTAGATTCTCAGTGGTACATATTTATTCTTGTCAATTAGCTATATTTTTCATCGTATTATATGATATCGGCTATTGAAATTATGGAACCAGAAAACGGGATGATCTTATATTCTTTGTATTGTAATCATTTACGACCATGAAGATACACATCAAAATATTTTGATATATTGTAATTTAGATGAAACACTAGTAGTGTTTGTTAATTAGATGACATCACTTGATTCATTTTAATACATTTGGTAACTAATACATGTTACATTACATAGAAATTAATGTTTCTCAGCATTCGTATCATCGGGTTATTTTATCTTTTGTATTGTTATATATCTTTTATCTTTATTTAACCTTTTTATCTTTCCTTCAAAAGAGACGTGATTTGTTTGTCATAACTCTGATACTATTTCTGAATAGTTTCATGGCCCTACTTTTATTTGTAAAAAGTCATCCCTTTTAAGGAAATTGGAACTTCAAATGAATCAAAATTAAAGGGCTGAATAATTGTATACGCGAGACCTTTTTGTATAGTATCCATTGATTGAATAATCTGACTTCAAGATACATTTGTCCAAAGATAATGATTGGTTATTGAAATGCTAAGTAGTTTCAGACTTTCAGTCCTGTTTTTGTTAGGCTGTGACTTGTAAGGGAACATAACTCTGTAGACTTTTTTTGCTTGACAAAAACTCTGTAGACTATTATTATTTTTTTTTTTTTTTTGATAACCATAGGAATTTCAGGTGCTATGTTTAAACTAATTTTCACAAAATTTTCTATCCGAACATGTATAGTTATAGGCGGGAAGGTGGATAAGGCGACTCGAACCCAAAACCAACACTCCAACTTTAGATTATTATTATTAACATAGTTTTAGATAGCATAGAAGCGAAACTGAAAATATTCAATGAAACTCTACATATAAGATCATAACAACAAAAAATAGAAGATACGAATGAAACATACATCTAATAATTTTTTCAAAAAAAAAAACATACATCTAATAAGTGATATGAGACTTTTTTATTATAAAAGTTATATGTATTCGAGATCAAAATCCTACAACATAAAATCTAAATGCTATGCCCTATGATTCAACTGCTATTTCTACTTGTGGAAAAAGAGTCCATTTGGAGTCACAAATCACAATCAACAGCCAAATCAACTACTGAGAAAAGAAAAAAACTTTCATACGTCTACCTTTGTTTTTTACGTCAATTAGCTGATTGGTAATTAATTTGACTATGTTTTGACAAAGTAATTAATTTGACTTTTGACCATATTACTAATCCATTCCTACAAGATTTTTTTTTCTCAATTTTTCTCTTCAAGAATACATAAAATACTATAACAGATGTAAAATTAAAATTACGTAATAAAATTTTACTTAAAATGCCACCATTAATAATTTTATCAAATACCTCGTGAGAGCCTTATCTTTCAAAAACATTTTGTTTTGCATAGAACTTCACTCACTCAGAGTTGAAACTAACTAGGAGGTAGCCTAATACCTAAAAACTCTTGGATTACCTCTAGACATCCAAAAAAAAAGAACTTCACTCAAAAACCTAAAATATTTTTGTTTACTGTTGCTAGCATTCAGGAGGCGTTCACCCCTTGTTGGTCATCACTAAAGCTGGTATCGGCCTCCTTTCTGCAATTTGATTTAAAATAGAAAATATATCTTTTCTTTTAATCACAAACATAACACACTGATTTGCAATACAAGGTTTCGTCTTAAGCTTTATGTATAGCATGAGATATGGTTCTAAAACACTTTACGTATTTCTTTACAATTCGGTCTACTTAGAATTCAAATTTAGTCATATAAGTGTTTAAGTTTCTATGATTCATCGATGTGTACATTAATGAGCTTGACGAGACTAAAATCTCAAACAGTTTTGACACTTGTATGATTCCATTGGTGTCGGATTATTTGACAGAAACAGTCAATCAATGACTTCATCATCATCAGGAACTTGGGGTAGAATTGAAGAAGCATTCACAATCTTCAGTTTTGGCGATTGGCTTGGCACCTTTTTAGGCTTCTTCTGAGTTAACATATTACAGGATACCAATCGATCTATGTACTGAAGAACAAAGAAACAGAACCCATCATACGTCAGGAGATGATTAAAGAAAATTTCATATAGGTAGTGTTAATAAGCACATCATAAACCTCAAAGTTATAACCTGAACCTCCCTCAAGACCTCAACACGCCTAGTCGTTTACAACGGAATAAAATAAACCAAGATTAACTAGAAATGTGCATTACACATAAGTACCAAAATGAACTTCCGAAGCTACGACGACAAAGGCTAAGGCGATTAGTTCACGGACTGCATCGTCTTCTTCCTTGGTCTAATGAATTATGGACTCTTGTCTTCTGCATTGTCTTCTTCCTTGGGCTGGTTATCGATAACCGGTGTTTTCTTTTCAGCATCGACATAGCGACCAGTCATTGGATCAACAGGGCGAGTGTCTCTATCTCCACCTTTACGTCCCATAGCGACCATTGGAGGAGGAGGAAGCAAACCGGATCTGAAAAGGAGACGCTGAACCGGGTCTGATGCCTGAGCACCAACAGATAACCAGTACCTGTACATAGAAAAAAAAATGTAGGTTCATCAAAAAACTACATTCAGAACCAGACGTCATAAACTATATATATGTTTAAATGATGCAAAAGAGCATGACAAGATTCGAAAGCTACATAGCCCTACATGATCAAGCATATTACTTACGCAAAGAAGTTGTAAAGGAGTGTAAGTGTGAAAAACAAAACCAAAACATTCATCATCATCATCATACAGCAATAGGAAGCAATGTCTCCATAACAAAAAGACTGGATAAGGAGACTCATTTGTTAATTATAAACTAAAATTTGTTACAGAATTCATAAAAAGACAAATCTGTTGCTTAAGTTTAGTAATTGATTCGATCGCATCATTGGTTCAACAAGCCGTTAATAGTATAGGAACAAGAAAATGATGACGGGAAACCATTCACAGAACACATCTCTTATGTGCTAGATGGAAAGACACTTAACGTAATGCAATTAAGATTCGGAGAGGTGGTGAGTGATAAGATATGTAGAGCAATTTCAAATGCAGGCCAGAATTTCATACGAGTGAGTTAGGTAAATTAGAAAACAATTGGAAACAAGAAGCTTAGTTTATAACTTCACATCACATATTAACAAGCCAAAGAGAGCCTTCCCCTAATAACAGTGGCCTATCCAACTCCATTCAAAAACTCAAAAAGAAAACTATTAACACACAATCAATCGTTCCAGGAACATACTTGATTCGATCGAACTTGAGACCCATTCTCTTACCACCATCCTGCCCTGCACCAACACACACAAAACAAAACAAAAAACGAAACAGTGTAAAAAAAAAAAAAACAAAACGAAGATTGAAGTAACCAAATTCAGTGTTTGACCTGGGAGAGGGTTGAAGTAACCCAAGACCTCAATGTGCTTGCCGTCTCTGGGAGATCTGCTATCTGCCGCCATTACCCTGAAAAACGGTCTGTTCTTGCATCCCAGTCTCGACAATCGAAGCCGCACTACCATCCCTTTCCCCCTTGACGCAAACAACACACACAAAATGATCAAGTTCGATTTTGGATAGAGAGAGACCACTGAGAGAGAGATGGACAAGGTTTTAGGTCTTTTTTTCCCTATCCCTTAAACGACGCCGGTTCCAAATTTTAACGAGAGTCAACCAGTCAAACCGCCTAATTTTATTAATAAAAATTTCACGGCGCCGTTACATAACCAAGACTGTGTTTTCCATCATCATCATCATCAAGCGGATTTGGTTCGCCATCGCCGCCCCAAGACGAGACGGTCTTTTTCCCGACGATCTGCACCGGTATAGATTATGACAATGGAGTCTTCCGTCGCTCCGCTTCCTCAGAGACGGTCGCATCGAAGTTATCGAGCAGTGCTTAATCACCTGTGCTCGAGTTTCGAGAATAGCCAAATATCTCTCGCCACACCGGCTGTTCTCCAGGGCCTCCTCCTCTCTAGAACAACAGGTGCCAATAGCTCTTCTAGCTATATTCCAAGTGTGATTTTTGAGTTTTTTTTTTATAATTTTTTTTTGTTTTGATTCTGATGTTTTTTTCGTGTGTGTTTATGAGAATAGAAATCCCTAAAGTATCTCCGCTTCCCGAGAGTTCACTGATCCTTGAGCCAACATCCTCCTCCCATGGAGTTTCAAACGTAGAAATGGTTTCACTGCAAAATAATCTTATGCTTATAGGAGGAGATGATGTTTTCGACGGAATTGAGTTGCAAGATGATGATGATGCTTCTGTTGTTCGTAGCCAACACAAGGATTTTTTCGATGAGTTTGAGCTCATCATTAATGGCAATGCAGACTTTGCTCCTCAGAATACTCTCTGTGAGGCATTGGATGTGAATGACTATGATGATGATGGTATGTCCAAACAAGCCATTCATCTCCTTCCTATTGTTGTAGAGAAGCCTAGTGTTGCAGTTGATGAATTAAAGGTAGATTTGGTAGAAGATGACGAGAAGATGGTTTCTGGAATTGTTAGGAGTAAGGCAGAGGAACTTCCCAAATTAGTTGAATTCTTGGAGACTAGTAATGATCAAGAGATGCGACCTGTTACTACTACTACTACTAGTCAGCTTTTGACAGATTCCATTCTTCAGATGGTTCATGATGATGATGATGATGTTGAAGAAGGAGAGATATCTGGTGGGGATGATGATGGTGGTGATAATATGCTTTTAGGAGATGGTTTTCCAGTGGAGAGGCAGGAGGAGGAAACGCATGTCTCACAAGAGGTATTGAATAAAAGAAGACAAGGGACTACTTGTTCTGGTTTTGAGGTACAAAATGGTGAAAAGAAGAATGTTCTAACTTCCGAAAACCAAGAACAGGTATATTGCTGATTATATTCTCATCTCTTCTTGTATGGCGATTACAAAATCTGACTTGTGTTTGTCTGCGCAGATGGCTTCTCAAACTTCAATTAAGAAAAAATCTGTGCCTTCTAAAGAAGCAAAAGCTAGAAAGAAGGTAACATCTATCTTCATGGGAATATTATCTTGCAATCAGTTTTTCTTTTTGTGATAAGCTTATTATAATTCATTGCAGGCAAAAGCTCGGAAGAAAAGAGCTCAGGAGCGTATAGCACTTGGTGTGAAGAAGTTGAAACTCAAAACAGTTGCGCCCAAACCTATACCTATCAAATACTGTCGACACTATCTCAAGGGACGCTGCTTTGAGGTATCCACAATGGCGTTGGATTATATACAAAGATTCTTTTCAATTTTTAGTTTCTTTTTTTCTTGTCGCTAACATGGACACTTTTTTCCATATGTTGTTTTGCAGGGAAAAGACTGCAAATTTTCACACGATACAATTCCGGAAACCAAATCTTTGGTATGATTCAAGACATATACTACTCCTCTTCTGAATCGTTTAGACAAAAGAGGAATAGTATGTATATTTGTTATCTCTACTGATTAAAATGCTCAATGTGTTTGTTGTTGTTGGTTTCAGCCGTGCTGCTACTTTGCAACTCAGTCATGTATGAAAGGAGATGATTGTCCGTACGACCATGATCTGTCCAAATACCCTTGCAAAAATTTCATGACCAATGGTTTCTGCCACAGGGGTGATAAGTGTCTGTTTTCCCACAAGGTACCCAAAAAAACAATCTTCTCGTCACTCTTATTATATATAATGATCTTTATATCCAATTTTTTTCACTTAACAGGGTACTCCACAAGCTGCTTCAGATCCACCGGGTGTGAATGTAACAACCTCATCAAGTAACATAGCTGCAGCATCTCTCTCGCCTCAGAAATCAAACAAACAAACCGTGAGACAGGCGATAGCCAGATTACCGGCGATTCAAGCAAGAGTTTCAAGCTCAGCTGCGTTTTTGTATCCCTCTAATCAAAAAAGCTCAACTGATGCATCATCATCTTCAAAGCTCAATGAACATGCAACACCTCCTCCTTTGAGAAAGCCATCTGTTACTCCAAAGGGTATGAGTTTTCTCTCTTTAGACAAACCCGCAAAAGAAGAGGAGGTTACCGTCATCAAACCTTCTGATCTTGGGTCCCAGCGAAACACACAGAACTCTGATTTTCTGAGCTTGAAGCAGTCGCAACAGAGTATCTCCTCCGTGCCTCTGGTGGCTCCAAAAGGAATCAGTTTCCTATCATCTGCATCGGAAGAACCAGCAAGTAGTAGAAATCTCAAGACAACGCCTAACTTACACATTCAAAGTTCTCTACACTCTGCCATGAAACTCGCTGCAGGATTCGAATCAATTAAAGTTGAGAGACGTGCAAATGGTCCCGGAGAAGCTGTTGTAAACAAGGGGGAGAACAACGTTGCAGTTAACACGAGCGTAACCAGAAACTCAGGGAACATATCGTCAAAGATCCTCGACTTCTTGTCTAGCTTCAGCCACGGCAAAAACTGATTCTTTATTTATTTGGTTTCTCTTTGAGATGAAAGAAAGAAAGAAAAAGCTAAACTCAGTGTCCAGTGCACTCAGGTAATGTAATTTTGTTCCAGCTTAATACTAAAATTATAAGATCTTTATGTTTCTTGCTAACCACCTTTAGACTTCATATTTTCTCAAGGTTTGAAGCTGAATCATGCGCAGTAGTGTTTATTTTATGAAATATATTTTGCTATTGATGATGATCAGTAATATACACGTTACAATAATTCTTGTAATAACTGCACAATTACATAAGGTTGTTATTCACCAGCTCTGTCTCCTATCTTCAAAAGCAAAGCCATAGAGACAAAACAATGAAACAAGGTTTCATCATGTTCGTTTCACCAGTGAGATTCCATTGGGATCACCACCCCACTCTTCAAATACAACTATACTGTTCTGTGCCTTGAGCCATGAACGAGGTACATGATACCTGCAAACAAAAAAGGAGACACACAACTCTTTGCATTATAAGAATAAATATTCAAAAGAATGAGCAGTTTTTTGTTCACTCACCATCTTTGAGAAGCTTCACCACAATTACTCAAACATTTCTTGGCATCGTATGTTCCAGCGTAGTTGCAACGTCCGCATGAGTTTCCTTTGGCTTTATAAGCAGGCCAGTGGCGGCCAATGTTTCTACCGTTTATCCAAACTTGACCTTTCCCCATTGTGTTCATGTCCACTGCCAATGGCTCGTTTCCTGCTGGTGCCGCAAATGTAGACTGCAACCAACAATTTCAAAAATCAATGTTTCTATTGTTTCACATAAACATTATTGCTTCTTGTGTAAAACTCTTTACCTTGTACCATGTCAATGGTTGGTTCTTGACCACGAATGATCCTTGATTCCATCTCACGGAAGAAGTCTGTGTATGAAGACTCAAAGCTTCACCTTTCACACCAACCTGTTCAAAGTCACATTTTAAAATCATTTCTTATGATCTTAGTTTCTTTGTTATTAGTAGAACTTTAAGAGTTGACTTTGAACTTCAAAGAGAACCTTATTGGACCATTTCCATTTTGACATGTCCCATGTTCCCGAGTTAAGTCCCTTCAGTGTGACCGGTCCAAGAACTCCTTTATTCCACGTCTCAAAGTATTTGCCAACATTCTGCAAACCACAACCAAGTAGCACAAATCTCAAATTATCTAATTAACCAAAAAAAAAAAACTTGAGCTTATTAGTTTTTATCCCATCAAGTAACTAACCGGTAAACCAACGACAACACTCAACAGAGCAATCTTGTTGACACCTGCATGCAGCTTGATCTTCTGGCTAAATGTTAGTGAAGTGTGTTCAAGTCCTCCATAAGCCCTCCCTGAAACAGAGAACATATCAAACAATGTTGTTAATTTACAAAACTAGACAAGCCAATCTTTTAATCGTTTCTCTTAAATAATATTACCTGCAAGCTGTCCATTGACAAACACATGAAGAGCATGCCCAGCTGACCACAGTGTAAGAAGAGGAAAATCACCAGTCTTCAAAAACCTCTCACCAGCATCAATTGTAATGCTGAGTAACCAAACAAACCGTGAGATTGTTTTTCTTTTAAAGAATGATGACACAAGTCAAAGAGAGTTTCAAAGTTGTATATATACTTACTCTGTTAGATACCAGAAATAGTCAGACTTGTCCCAAGTCATGCTTAACTGTTCCACAAGCCCGTTTCTTGCAAACGTACCAGCTTCATTCGCAAAAGGAACCACTTCACTGAATGATTCCCAAGAGAATCTTGTTCCAGTTGAAACCATATTTCTGTGTACGCTTGGTGCATTAATCTGTAGTTAATAAAGATCAATAAGGTAAACTAACTTTCTCTTACTTGACAAACAAGTTTTCTCTTCTGACTTGACTTACCTTTGCAGTGTTGTAATATTCTGTTTTGCAATCAGGTAGAATACTGACGGACCAAGGAGGCAAATCATATGGGAATCCACGGAACATAACTCTCGCTGCAGAGTTCACATCGTTGTTCGATAGAAACGCAGCACATGATGACTTAGACCAGAACACATGAGCCTGAAAACATCAACATTCATGATCATTAGGTTTCTCTCAATAACGTTAGCTACAAGTTATAAGAAAAGGGTTTGATATTTTTACCTCTTGTTTGGCTCCAAGATATGTGACGGTTGCATCAGCAGAAACCAAAGCTGGCTCGCTGAGTTTGATGACTTTATGTAATGCTTTCAAGTGACTGTACTTTGGTTCTCTTGGTAAGCCTTTACGTGGTAATTAAACAGAATCAGATTATCTAAATCATTCAGACAGACTTTAAATGTGTGTTCTGAGTTTTGGTTAGTACCGTATTCATCGAGAGGAGCATCGTAGTCATAGCTTGAAGCCATGAACTCACCAGCAGTTCTGTCAAAATTCGTCCCTCCATGATACTATATAAAAATATGAACCAAGATGTCATCAAACAGAACCAAAACTTGATGTGTATTCATATCTAACTCTGTTTAATTTTTACTTACCATATAGTAATTGACGAAGGAACCTCCATTTTGTATGAATCTTGCAACAGAGTATGCAATATCTTCCACTGGTCTATATGGTACCGCACCTCCAAACTCTGTATACCTGAGATTTAATTTTACAATTTTTTTTTTTAAGTTGAGAAAATTATCCTCTTACAATTTATAATTTCTACTTGACTGAACAAAGATAATTTTATTTTCTCTGCATATTGATGTTGTGACTTACCAGCCAGTCCAATTCTCCGTCCACATCTTGGGCTTGTTGTTTGAGTTTGGTTTGAAATTCTCACAGTAATAACCATTGCATGTGTCGATCTATATTTTTGCATTAACAAAAAAAAAAATCTTTATAAAAGAGAGGAGGAATCTGAGGGAATTCAACTTCACAAATAAAATGTAATACATATTTGATCCAAATTTTTTTTTGCATTATTTTAATTTTATAAAATGAAAAAAAGAAACAAAACGATGACCAGTGATACAAACCCAACCCATACTGAATTCACAGAAGTTTGGTTCATAATCTTCTTCTTAGATCAAAAACCCAAAATCATTTTGTAATTGAACTCTAAAAAGATGAAGAAGAATTTTTAGATTTATGTATACTAAAAATCAAATACTTTCTTAGCCAAGATATTTATAATTATAAAGAAGGAAAAGGAAATAACATACAATAGGAGAAGGAGCATCCTCTTGCTTGCACATGATCCATGGAACACCTGTTTGGAGTCCTAATGCCATTTGAGCTGCCCATTTTGTGTAAGCCTTTCCTGGTGCACCAATTTCCCATTCCACTGGTCCATATTCATTCTCAATCTGTCCATTTTTTTTTTTCATTTTTACATATAAGAACACTTTTATTTAAGCCGTCCATGCCCAATCTTTGGCTAATGATGATAATTAGTGTAATAAACAAGAACCGCATATGAACAAACCTGTGCAAGAATGATGGGTCCTCCTTGGGTTTGAAACAACTTTTCTGCTTTCATCATCCATACAATCTTTTCAGTGAATTTCTTCATTGCAGCCTTTTTCAATATCATTTAGAATTAACATTAATCATCAAATAAGGAGACAAAAATTTTAATATATATGATGGGGGGGAAAGTTTGGTATATTTAGAGTTTAAACCTTGAAGGGCTCGTTATCCGTTCTAAAAGCTATACCAGGGACAAATTTGAGCCAAACCGGAAATCCCCTAAAAAACCATAAAATTTTAATTAAAATGTTGATAATCATTGACTTTTCTTTTTTTTAAGAAATTAGTAATTTTATATTACCCGAAATTCCATTCTGCACAGACAAAAGGGCCAATCCTGAGATTGACATAGAGACCAGCTTGCTGCACCAACTTGATAAACTTAACTAAATCATACCTGTCTCCAAAATAATACTGGACAACCAATAGTACAGAGAAAATTAGAAGAGATGTAACTTGTGAGAGAAGAAAATTAATTAAATAAACGGTTTAATATTTTTCTTTGGTAATTACATTTCCAGGAGAAGGTTCGTGGCCATTCCAAAAAACATAAGTCTCTATAACATCCACGCCTCCTTCTTTGGCTTTCTGTATAAGACCAGGCCACATCTACACAAAACAGAGCATTCAATGAACCATGCATTTATGGTCAAGAATAATAAAACAAAAATCTAATAGATTATGTAGATGATAAGCAAAAACCCATGTGAAGTACAAAGCTTGGAAAGAAAAACACATTGCACAAAATCAAATTAAGCCAATAAATTCAAGAAAATTAAACAGAGGAAAATAAGAAAATATCACAAGTTATGAAATTCACATTTAGGTTCTGCAGAAGAAACACTGAATAAAAAAAAAAAATTGATTATTACCTCAGGGGTGCTTCGTGGATAGTGAATGGAACCTGAGAGAAGAATTCTTCTTTGTCCATTGATGATCAAAGCTTTACGATCATAAGAAACTGTTGCTTTTACTGAACAGAACAATGATGAATAACAAAGAATAACCAGAAAAATGGAGACTTTATCTCTAACATTCAATCCCATTTCTTTTGATTTCCCTCCCACACGAATAAGATTCGTACTGAAAGAAAATTCTGCTAAAATGGGCTTTTTGGGTTTGGATTAATGATTGTTTTGGAGTAATATATATATAAGGGGAGAGAGAGAAGATGGTGATGATAGATTTTAGGGAGAGCATATCTATTCTTTATTCTTAGAAGAGACTCAAGATAGAAAATTTATATTGAGTCTATCTAATCTTTTTGCTTTGTGCGGGTAACTTTGAAACGTCACAACTTACTTATTTAGTTTGATTAAATTTGGATTTTCTTTTCTTTTTATTGTTATTGACTAGGTAGTTCAGTTCATCCACAATATGTGGGGATTGATTTTTGTTATAATGTTTCCTTAAAATCAGTATTTTCAAAAGAGGAAGGAAAATCAAGTGTTATGTGGAGAATTAAATAATATATGTGAAAGGAATTAAATGGAAAAATAATATGCTAAAATAAGTAAATTATGATGGTTTACACATTTGAATAAAAGATCAAGAGTTTTCATACACATTAAACAAAAATTAAATTTGTACTTTGCCCCTTCTTAAGTCTATTTGTAATTTTTCTTAACATTATCAATATATGGCATGATTAAACACTGAAATTGGTCAAAAGATTAATATCAAAAATTTAGATAAACATATTTCTAAAAGTTTTAAAACGATATTTATAATCAAAAATAGAAGAAAGATGATTTGGATCATGTG